CTCACATTTTTGCACTTTGGAGTTTTCTGTGCACGGCGTATTTGCCATTAAGCTTTTGATTTGGTAGCAGACTGTCCAGGTATCCATAGGCAGACGCGATACCGTTGCTGGAGATGATTGATCCAAGGCACTTTAAGTGGTCAATCTCCCACCGCATTTTTTTTGCCAAATGAGTTCTTCATGGTACGCGTTTTGCACAGCAGAATTTAGGGCTGAGAGGAATTCGCAGCTGTATCGCATGCGAAAGTCTTCAGGTGGCTAAGCCTTTCTCATACTTCTCCCCAGTAGAGCATCTTCTGCGTTCTCTTTGTCAACAGGATATATCGCTGCATATTTCGAATTGTGCTTCCATAAAGTGATGTCCGTCGTTGCTCAGGTCTGCTGTGTTTCCCAAAAGATATTGAAGAACAAAATTGAATAACAAAGGCGAAAGTATATCTCTGACGGACTATCCTAGGTGTTCGTACTGCCGCAGCAGCAAACGTTGCCTAATATCCACTGAAGCATCATTTCTAACAGTTAAATAAAATTGGGTCTCTTTTGTTTAAGCTCTGTTAACCTACGATGACGCTGATAAAGCAGTGTTAACGTGCTGAAAGAAGGTATAGAATATCAGAAAAGTTGGGTTTCAATTATACTCAGACGCTGCTCAAAATGCCAGTCGATGTCTCTCACAGGCCTACAGTATGCAGAATACGTGACTCTTCAGTGATGGAATCGCCTGCCTACAGCGAAGTTGCTAATCTTTTTACCATGATACTTAAAAGTGAGATGTTCCCAAAAATGAAGGAATGTTCCGCGGTATAAATAAACATTAGGAGTTCAACTTTCCACGGAACGTGAACACATTCCAGTACCGTAGTCTCGCAAAATAAGGACTGCAATGATAGCTCTAGGAAAGTACTAGGAATCCAAACCTGACTTGTTCGGAAAATTAAGTGAATCTATACCGGGGACACTGTAAAGTTGGAAACAACAGTAAAGATCGGTATGGCATCGACTTAGCCGACATTTCTAAACAGCCTCGACAGCTATCGTTAGTTATAAGTTCGATCAGCAGTGTTATATATGATGCATCCTGCGAATCAAGTAACCAGCACTAACGACTATTCAATGCGCATAGTTGTAATGCATACCTGACATCATCGGGCAATTATCTAGTGGATCGATATTTTGTTGGAACGACAAGTTATCGATAAAGCGCGACAGCTGTTCCTCTGGTCACTGTATCACAGAAAGCGCTATTTTGGAGGTGTGCGAACGGTATTAATGAACATCATTCGCTTCCTACGTCTATGCATAAGCAACG